TTTGTATTCCCTGTCACTTTGATTTATTTCTGGTTTTTGTTTTGTCTTAGTTTCTCATTTGATTGAGTGTCCCTTTAGTGTAGATCCTCCCTTTGCTGGTTTTCACATTTTTTTTCCACGTCATTCTCATGGAAAATTTTGTTCAGAATGCTCTGTAGTATAGGCTTTTTAGTTGTGAATTCTTTTAATTTCTGTTTATCATGAATGATTTTAATTTCATCTTCAAATCTGAAACTTAATTTTGCTGAACATAAAATTCTTGGTTGGCATCCGTTTATTCTTTAGGGCTTGAAATATATTATTCCAGAACCTCCTAGTTTTGTGGGTCTGGGTTGAGAAATCAATTGAGATCCGAATTGGTTTTCCCTTATATGTAATTTGATTTTTTTTTTCTCTCACAGCTTTTATGGTTTTATCTTTAGTCTGTTAGTCATTCTCATTATAATGTGTCTTGGTGTGGTTCTAATGTAATTTTGTACATTTGGGGTCCTGTAAGCCTCTTGTATTTTATTTTCCATTCCATTCTTTAGGTTTGGGAAATTTTCTGCTATTATATTATTGAAGATTGTGCATTCCTTTGGTTCATATCTATTCCGGTAACTTAAATTTGGTTTTTCATGTTATCCCATAATTTTTGGATGTTCTGTTCATGGTTTCTTACCATCTTCTCCGTATGTTCAACTCTGCTTTCAAGATTATATATTTTGTCTTCATTGTCTGAGGGTCTGTTGGTTATGCTTTCTATTGAATTTACAGTTTGGTTTACTTATTCCTTCATTCCAAAGATTTCTGCTTGGTTTTGTTTTGAATGATCTTTTTATTGAAGTGGTCTTTCACTTCCTGTATTTTTTCTTTGACTTCACTCCTTATACTATCCTTTACTTCAGATATCAATTTAACTATATGCAATCTGAACTCCTTCTTGGACATTTCTTCTGCTGTGTTATCAGTGGCTTCTGTTGTTGAAGCATCTTGGTTTGTTTGGGGCACTTTATTCCCTTGTTTTTTTTCATGTTGTAGTGTTTTCCTATCTAAAAGTATGGATCTAAGGCAGGATTAATTATACCCTGTAGACCTATAGTGTCCCTGAAGGTTTCCAGCGCCTTGCCTTTATATACCCTTAAACCTAATAGCTCCCACTGAGGCATCTACTGCTTTCTCACATTAAACCAAAATGATGAGTTCAATAACTAACTATAGTACAAACAGAATATTTGTTAAAACGATTTACAATTTCAAATGTTGGATGAGAGAACAGAGGTAGTGTAGTATGCAATATTAGCAAGGGAAGAAGAGAGAAGCTAGAAGTAAAAATTCACAGGAAGAGTGAAGAGGAGCCAACAGAGATTGGCTGTTGGCAGGAGAAAAGTTTGGGGAAAAAAATCCAAGAAAACAGACAAGCGAGAGGAAGAATAAGAACAAAGAAAAAATTAAAGACATAAGAATACAACAAAAGGGCTAGGGATGTGGCTCAAGCGGTAGCGCGCTCGCCTGGCATGTGTGCGGCCCGGGTTCGATCCTCAGCACCACATACCAACAAAGATGTTGTGTCCGCCGAGAACTAAAAAATAAATATTAAAAAAAAAAAAAAAAGAATACAACAAAAATGCAAAACACCATTCATATATCATTGTCCTCCACACACTGATGCATAAAAAACATCCTGTTCTAAATATGGTAGAGAGATTATGTGAATCAAAAAATAAATCTTTCTATAAAGTCAAACTGTCTCTGTCACTGTTCAACAGTTTCTCAGCCCTGTCTCTGATGTCTCTCAGGATCACCAAACCCAGATCAGCCCTCGCAAACCCAGTCTCTATCCCACTGATATGGGCTTCAGATACCTCAGGTTCGGCCATGCTGCAGTCCCAAGATCTCAATGTTGCTCCTACTTGCAGAGAGACCACCAGGGATACATTCAGGCAAAGATGCAAGACAAGGGCCACCAGCACCCTCAGCAGGAAGACCCCAGGCTCCTCCAAACCCACAGGCACCCCCACACTGGACCTGCAGGTTTGACAGGAGTCCCCAGCTTCTGGTGATAAATCTGCTGGTACCCAGGCTCCAGGCCCTGGCTAGTGTTCCAATATGGGTGCAGCCATGTGCAACCAAACCTGGAGTCTCTCCAAAGCAGTTCTCTAGGCTATGGTAGCAACGGTAGTGGTGGTGGTTGTTGGTAGCAGGCAGTGGCTCAGCAGTAGTAGTGGCTGCAACTGCAGCTGTGGGAGTAGCGTCACGAGGTGATATCTGGGGTCAGCAACAATGTTGGCTTCAGTTGCATCTGGGTCACTAGTTTTTTCTGTGGCAGCAGCACCCAGAAAGAAGACCTCCAGGCGACCTCAGGCTGGCAGCAGCAGAATCAGATGCAGCAGCAATGACGGTAGCAGTGTGGTGGCAGTTGGTTGAACTGTTATTATTACTTTTTAAAGTTAGATAGTCCTTTTTTAATTTTTTCTTTATTTTTATGTGGTGCTGAGAATCAAACCTAAGGCCTCACACATGTGAGGCAATCACTCTACCACTGAGCCACAACCCCAGCCCTGTTATTATTTATGAGGTGGGGCACTGGTGTCTTAAAAATAGATCTTTTTTTTTTTTTATAATAGTTTATAGCAGTAGTTTCATAGCAGAATTTTCTGTGCCCTCTGCCCCCATATAACCTTCCCCATTATCAATATCCCTTACTAGTGTGACACATTTGCTAAAATATATTATAGTATCATGCACAGTACGGTTTCAATACCCTCTTCTTCCACCTACTCATCCTCCCTTCTCCACTAACCTACAGCAACCACTTATTTTTATTGTCTCCCTAGTTTTGCTTTTTCTTAAATATTATATAGTCAGAATCATGGAGTATGTAGCATTTTCAGACTAGCTTCTTTGACTTTCTAATATGCATTTAAGTTTCTTCCATGTAATTTCATTTTTAGATAGCTCATGTCTTTTTAGCACTATATAGTATTCCACTGTCTGGATGTACGATATATTATGTATTTATTGCCTTAATTATAAAATTACTTGCCTAACACTTATACACAGAGAATCTAAGCCCTCTCATCTCCCTAGTGTTTCCAAAGAACCTGCCATACAATAGTGCTTAATTAATATTGCATTTCTAATTATTTCCCTTTCCTACTCTGCCAGAAGTTTGATCTAGTTCATAAGAGATGGCCTATTTATTGAAATGCCTGGATCAGAGAAATAACATCTTAACAGCTGGTGCCAAGTATGGAGCCAGGAGGTTGTCTTCATGGTTTTTTCATCACTCATTAACTAAATATCACTATTTTTAAAAAGCACACACATGCACACACATATGTAAACATCCTTATTACATATATTTGTCACCAAGAAATCACCAAGAAGTCACAAAAAAGTAGGCTTATTTGAGTTCACAATGTAGATCCTGGGGAAACACATTATCTTCTCTGCAGTTTACTTATATAAATTCAAAGTAGTTAAATAACACTTGAAACCAAGTTGGTAAAAAGAAAAAAAAATTGTGATTTAATTCAAACTTCAGAACTTGTAAAATAAAAAGCCATGATGGAGAAATATCAAGAAATTTGTAAGGGGGAGGGAAAAGGGGGGGATCATGAATTAAAATTGATTTCCATGCACATGAGTTTGTTAGCATGAACCCAAATACTACTATGTATAACAATAAAGCTCTAAAAAAACTGTAGAAACACCAAATGGTCACAGTATTGTTTTCCTTTATAAAAGCATTTCAATAAAACAAAATTTAAAAACTATGGAAAACAAAGTCAATCAGAGATTTTGGTTTAATACTTTCCCTGAGTCTTCTTATTTTTGAAAATCAAATTTAAGTAAGGCCATTTCAAAAGTGACCCACAGGTCTCACCTCCTCCATGCTTCCATGGGGAATGCATTTAAGACAAGAGGCTACACGTGCTGGAATGGTCCCAGGGCTTTGAAATGCCAGTTTGCCTGTGTCACTGTCACAGGGTTCAGATGCTACCAACATATTAAAGTTCTACAACATTTTATCTCGACCTGACATAATAAAACACATGGGACTATAGAGCAAGGGCAGACAAACAATTTTAGTTATTAATAAATATTAAATTTCTAAATGGATTTGGACACTATATACACCAAATGATGGTAACACAGAAACTTGTTTATGTTTTAAAAATCTTATATAAACAGGAGTTGGCAAGCAAATCATCTCAATCTTCTAAATATGAGTTATAAGAAAAAAACAAAGTAGAAAAAAGTAACTGTAAGTTGATGCTTGCGTATGGGTATTCTAAATCCAAAAAAGTAATCTTCTCTTTCATCATTAAACAAAATTGGCCCCTACTATGTTTCTATTTGATCACTTAATTCATCATATGTATATGGATACATATATATGCCTGTAATCCCAGCGGCTTGGAAAGCTGAGATAGGAGGATCGGAAGTTCAAGGCCAGGCTTAGCAATTCAGAGAGGCCCTAATCAACTCTTTGACACCCTGCCTCAAAATAGAAATATAAAATAGAAAATAAAAAGGCTGGGGTTGTGGCTCAGTGGTTAAGTGCTCCTGGGTTCAATTCCTAGTATCCCTCTCCGCCAAGTTCAGTGAACTTTTAAAAATTATTGTTTTTTTTTCAAAATGTACTAAGTTACTTGCTGGGATTATATTGTTAGGGCACTAAATATTATGGATAATATTTTCTAGTCAAATGTAGAATTTTTTCCCACACATTTTTACAAACATTCTTGAGGGATCTCAGAGAGATGGCAAGGATCTGCCAACTCGTATATCTCCCTCCATCATAATGAAATCTCAGTTGCAAACTAATTTTAAAAAGGTTAATAACCATTCGCTTTTCAAAAGCTAATGATTGTGAACTATCTTAAAATTTAGGAGTGAACTGATGGCTCTACGCACCAGAAGTCTTGACACTTATTCATATTCCTATCAACTCTTAATAATTATAAGTACCTCTTTGTATAGGAGGGGATACTGTTTTTATTTATTTTTTTCCCAAAGAGTTGTCTAAAGTTAGAGAAGCCAAGGTTGTAACTACAGCCAGAACTGTAGAGGCTAGACAACTATGGGGTATGATGGATTCAAACTTGGTATGAAATGTTATTAACTCACTTGTCCTGCTCGAATCACAGCTCCTATCTTAGTTTAACCTCTCACTAACCCTTGAAGCATGGACTTGGCGAATGCCACTTACCACCTGCCTTCACTGCAGGTAGAAAAGGCTAGCCAATGCCTTTTAGAAAAGAATACCACATGTTGTACAATATGCAATTAGCAAGGTTCAATTATAGCACTTTGGTACCCTTTACAGGAAAAAAAAAAAAAAACTCTCAAAACATATAAAGGAAAACACAAGCATGTGGCATTATATATTTTACCAACTGAGAAAAACAGTAAGGTGTAACCACTTCACTCCTTGACCAATTTTCAGCAACATATCTGCCCCTTCCCGCTACCATTCCAGTTCCACGGGGTATTTTCCAGTGAGACAAGCTGTACAATGACCATCCTTTTCAAAACATTCCAAACCATTTCCATTTTCTTGAATCATAATATCATTCTTTTTCTCTTTCTGTTTTTTAAATTTTATTCCTTCTTGTACAGATGAAACGAGTCCTTCTACTGACAGATATACAACACTGTTTGCTCCTATAGGAGGAAAGAGGGAAAAATGAAAAGGTCATGAGACTCTCTTTAAAAAGGAGGAAATATTTCAACAGAGGATAGTTATAAACAGCACAATTTAAGCCAGGCTTAAAAATTTTCCTTTCTTGAAAAGAAAGGGGGAAAAGAATTCAAAATACAGATCATTTATTTTTATAATTTCCATAGGAACTAGAGGATAACAATTTAAAACAGCAGGAATACTTCAGGACTAGAAGGCTTGAGGAATAATTTCAATAATTTCTGGAGCCCCCCCCACCCCACGCCAGGCCCTCCAGAGCTAGGAAGTGAACACATCCTTGTTTGGCCTCAAATTAAAGTTCAAAAGTCATTCATCTTTTATTTTTAATCTACAAGACGGGTGAAACAAACACCCAAACATCACTTAACTGTAATTTATAATACAGATACCACATGCAGTATAGTTTCTGGCAAAGAGAGTGGTCACAATATGGTATCCATCAGGATAATATTTAAAATATTTAACCCATAAGGCAAAGGCGGGACCAGCCCAATGAAATGCCTGCCATAACTAGTATGAGGTACCAAGGTACAATGACTGGACATCATATGGAACTAAAATGGTTTAGATATCTCCTGATTTTGAAAGAAACATGTCTAATGGAGGATAATAGATTTCCATGTCTCCTTATCTCATTATTAAAAATAAGCTTACATAGTAGCTTTTTACTTTTTGATTTGTATCCACATCCAAATTATTCTGTTAAAATACACAATAAAATTCTTCTTTTCCTTGTGATTTGACCTTGGGATCAGATCTGATGATTATAGTTTTCTCTCATTTTTCTTGGTATCTGAACTTTGGGAGTCTCTGGCTAATATGATTGCTATTCCTTCTACCTACAAACCCATTCTTCCTTCCCTGGCCTCACCTTGGCCTACTTCTCCAAAAGCATTTACCATGGGGTCTACAAAGCCCACCACTCTCACTGTTCAAAACAGCATTCACTATCTGTTTAACATGTATGATATAATCACTGTTCTTAACATATTGAACACTGATGTTAAATGTTACCAACATATTCAACTTAATTTTCATTAAATGTATAAAACCCAACAAGTTTTGGGTTCTCTTTTCATAAACAAAGTCTACAGAAATTTTAATACCTACCTAAATATTCTGCAAGACGATCAAATTCTGGTTTATTGGCAATAAGCTCTTCTTTTGTGGGAATGTTGATTCCCATGAAGCATGGGTATCTAATTGGTGGGGAAGCTACTCGAATGTGTACCTTGGAAAGAAAGCATTTCATATACCCAAAGTTAGAATAACTACACAAATTTCTCTCACTAATCAAATCCAAAATAAAGTTGTTTTCTAACACATGTAGTAATGACATGGTAATAAGGAAAACTATAAAATTTGTTTCATTGAATATATTTTTTCTCATGCCACTGATTAATAAGGAATCCTTTTTCAGATCTCTGACTTCTCATTTAATGACTATTTTTCTAGAACTACTGTTATTTTCCTTTTAATACCTGAATAGTACTTTTGCCTACCTCTTAAAATATTAAAAAGAAAGATATGATCTACCAGATAATAACAAAGCCCTTACTATGGAACAGAGCTAATTCTGTCTATTATTTTTTGCCTTTTGTTAGGTCTATTTATGTAGCCATATTCAGTGTCCCCTTTTTTCGTTAAAACTTTCTTTTTTCTTGGTACTGGGGATTAACTCAGGAACACTCAATCACTGAGCCACATCCCCAGCCCTATTTTGTATTTTATTTAGAGACAAGGTCTCACTGAGTTGTTTAGTGCCTCGCTTTTACTGAATCTGCTTTGAATTTGTGATCTTTCTGCCTCAGCCTCCCAAGCTGCGTGCACCACCATGCCTGCCAAAAACTTTCTTTTTCTTAATTTTATTTTTTTGGATTTTAGTATAGGGAATTGAATCAGGTGCTATACCACTAAGCTACATCCCCAACTCTTTTTGTTTTTTTTATTTTGAGACAGGGGGACTCAGAAAGCTGCTCAGGCTGGCCTAGATTTGTGATCCTCTTTCCTTAGCTGCCTGAGTAGCTGGGATTACAGGTGTGCATCACTGAACCCAGATCTTCACATAGTTGGTTTTTTTTTTTTTTTGGTGGCACTGGGGATTGAACCCAGGGCCTTGTACATGCAAGGCAAGCAATCTACCATCTGAGCTATTTCCCAGCCCCACTCTTCACATAGTTTTAATGGCTGCATATGTCATCACCCTGATCACTTTACTATTCTCCTACTGGCAGATACTTGAGCCATTTCCAGATTTTTTTTTTTTTTTGGTCTATTCTTTTTTACTACTGTAACAGACTTGTATTTACTTTATACCTTTGCTTGTACTACATAATTTTCCTAGAACTTTGAAGAATATCATAATTATTACCAGTCATAAAGGCTGAAAAATCATAATCATAATTATCTTTGAAACATTCTAAATAGGGTTTTATTAATTTCCATCCCATTTTTTCCTACATTTTATTTTTAGCTTTGCTCTACTCTTTGTTATAAACAAATCTCACTCATATAATCTGATCAACTAAAATATTTAAGGTTAGAATAAGCTTTGAAATTTAAAAATAACAATATAGGCATACCTTGGAGATATTACAACTTGTTTCTGGATCACAATAAAGTGAATAGAGAAAAAAATTAGTCACACAATTTTCTTTTTGTCTCTTAGATCCTGTACGTTATCTTTATTATATTAGAGTCTATTTTAGAGTCTTTTTTTTTTTTTTTTCAGTGCTGGGTATAGAATCCAGGGCAACACACATGCTAGTCAAGTGGTCTACCATTGAGTTGCATCTTTCAGGTGTGCAATATCAATGTCTAAAAAAAACAATATACATGTTAATTAAGAAATACTGGGGGGCGGGGGAGCTGGGTTTGTAGCTCAAATGGAAGAGCATTTGTCTTGCATGTGTGAGGCACTGGGTTCAATCCTGAAAACCACATAAAAAAAAATATAAAGGTATTACGTCTGTCTACAACTGAAAAAATATTTATAAAAAGAAATACTGGGGAGACTGGGGATATATCTCAGTTGGTAGAGTTCTTTCCTCACATGCATAAGACCCTGGGTTCAATCACAAGCACCACAAAAAAAAAAAAAAAAAACTGGGACTAGGGGTAGCTCAGTGGTAGAGCTCTTCCCTCACATAAGAAGCACTAGGTTCAATCCTCAGCACCACAAAAAATAATAAAGGCATTGTGTACATCTACAATTAAAAAAAAGGGAAATACTTTATTAGCTGGGTGTGGTGACACATGCCTGTAATCCCAGTGGCTCAGGAGGGTGAGGCAGGGGAATTGGAAGTTCAAAGCCAGTGTCAGTAACCTAGCAAGGCCCTAAGCAACTCAGCACAATCCTGTCTCTAAATAAAATACAAAAAGGGCTCAGGGGCTAGGGTTGTATCTCAGTGGCAGAGTGCTGGCCTAGCATGTGAGGCACTGGGTTGGATTCTTAGCATTGCATATAAGCAAAACAAAACAAAACAAAACAAAAACAAATAAATGAACGTTCATCAATAACTAATTAAAAGGCACTGTGGGCTGGGGATGTGGCTCAGTAGGCAAGCACCCCTGGGTTCAACCCCCTGTATAACAACAACAAAAAAATTTCATTGCTAAAAAGTACTAATAGTAATCTGAGCCTTCAACAAGCTGTAATCTTTTTGCAAAGATCTTGCCTTCAGGATGACTATGGTGGTGACTGCTGAAGTGGCTGTGACAATTTCTTAAAATCAGGCAACAATGAAATTTGCTACATTGACTTCCTCTCAGGAAAGATTTCTCTGTGGCATGTGATGCTGTTTTGGTAGCACATTACCCACAATAAGACTTTTTAGAAATTGGAGTTAGTTCCCTGAAATCCTGCTGCTGCTTTGTCAACTAAGTTTCTGAAATATCTTAAATACTTTGTTTTGGACTGGGGATGTAGCTCAGTGCCAGAGTGCCCCTGGGTTCACTCTCCATTTTGTGGGTAGAGATGGGGAGAGAAGCAACTCACTGTCATTATAGTTCTCCCATGAGATTGCAACAATTCAGTCATACCTTCATGCTCCATACATCCAATTCTAGTTCTCTAGCTACTTCTAACAAATCAAGTTACTTCCTCTTTTAAAATCTTGCACCCCTCAACCCTCCCATAAGGGGTGGAATCAACTTCTTCCAAAATATCAATTAATGTTGATATTCTGACCTCCTCCCTTATATAACAAATGTTCTTAATGGCATCTAGAATGGTGAATCCTTTCCACAACATTCTCAATTTACTTTGTCATGATCCATCAAGAAATCATTGTTTATATGGCAGGGATAGCCTTAACAAAATGCATTTCTTAACTAATAAGACCTGAAAGTCAAGATCACTGTTTGTTCCAGAGATTACAGAATGGTTGTTGGACAAGCAAGAATAAAAACAACAAAAATCTCATACAACTCTGTCACAGTTCCTAGGTAGCCAGATACATTATCTATAAACAATAATGTTTTTAAATTTTTTTAATAACCATATTTTATTTACCTTTTGTATGTGGTACTGAGGATCGAACTCAGTCCCTTACGTGTGCTAGGCAAGCGCTCTACCACTGAGCTACAATCACAGCCCTGAACAATAATATTTTGAAAGACATCTTCTTTACCCAGCAGTGGGTATTAACAGTGAACTAGAACTGAAGAGAGTTAGGACCTTAATCTGGATCAGCTATAAGGAATGTTGTGGATGGTTTGATCTCTCCAGACCATTAAAACTTTTTCCATATCCCAATAGGCTGTTTTGCTTTCTTACCATTTGTGGGTTCATAGAGATACACTTTGTTTCCTTCAAGAACTTTTCCTTTGCAGTTACAATGTGGGTAAACTGCACAAGAGATGTAGCTTTCAGCCTTTCTCAGCTTTCCACATGCCTTCCTCACTGGTATTTAATTTAAAGTGAGAGATATTTGTTTTTCCTTTCTCTTTACACTTAAAGGTCATAGTAGGGTAATACACTAGTCTAATTTCAATATTGCTGTCTCAGGGAACACACAGGCCAAAGGAAAGGGAGACAGGGAAATGGGTGGTCAATGGAGTCATCAGAATACACACATCAATCAAGTTTGCCATCTTGTCAGGACAGTTTGTGGTACCCTAAAATGATTACAATAGTAACATCAAAGATTACTGATTACCTATCACCGTAACAGATACAACAACAACAAAAAATCTTAAATATCATGAGAATGCCCATAATGTTCTTTTCTTTCTTTCTTTCTTTCTTTTTTTTTTTTAAAGAAGGTACTGGGGATTGAAACCAGAGGCCCTTTACACTGAGCTACATCCCCAGTCCTTTTACTTCTTTATTATATGGAGACTTAAAGCGAGCACATACTGCTGGAAGAATGGCAGTAGCAAACCTGCTCAATACAGGATTGCTGAAAAGCAATTTGCAAAAATCATAGTATGTGTGGAGTTCAATAAAGAAAAGTGCAATAAAGTGAGGTAGGCCTGTATGCTGAAAAATGCATCAAAGGATGTTATATCCATAAATAAATACATGTTTATTTGTTAACTAAGAAAATTAAAAGCTTTAAAGAATTTTTTTTTTTCTAGGAGATGATGTGATACAAATAAAAGAGTTAAATTTATTACACTGGAATGATTTTGTCTTCAAATGGAGAAAGTAATCAAAATTGTATAGATTTAAAAAGCATTCTATTATTTTGATTTTTAAAGTTGGTCTTCTAATTAACTTTCCAAAATTATTCTTAAGCTTTTATATTTAGCTTTTTGGTCTTTCAAAAACAGTATACAGTATAAGAGTGGCTATTACATTTCTCCAAATTGCCACAGTTATTTGTAAAACAATCTGATATGACAAGCTAACTTACCTTAATGACCTATCCATTTTGATTCATGATACTGAATTTCAATTTTTATTGACAGTATTGTATTGTTGCTTTGGGACATTTTAATATTACTTACCTCTTTTGCACCCGATTCTTTGAGCAATTTTATTATAGGTGAGATGGTATTGCCTCTCACAATAGAATCATCTATAAGAACAATTCTTTTGCCTTTAAAGTTGTCCGACAACACTCCAAATTTTTTGGCAACACCAAGTTGTCTTAACCTCATGTTTGGCTGAATGAAAGTTCTTCCAACATACCGGTTTTTACACAGCACCTCCACATAGGGAAGTCCACACTGAAAGGGGAGACATGAATAGATAATGAGCAGCAATACACACTCTACTCCACGCTCCTTTTCTCTTTGGATTATGCTAGCATTATAATATGTATGTAAAACGTGACAATTTGGTGGTTGCTACAAACTTTCCATTACCAGAATATAATTTTATTTCACTATTTAAACTGTGGATAGGAAAAAAGAAGGGAAAGCCCTGTTGAAAGAAAATAGTTTGTAGAAAAACAATTCATTTTACTAGAATTTTTAATTCCTCCCTCTTTATTTATGACCCTTTTGATTTTATTTTTTGAGATGGGGTCTTCCAAGGTTGCCAAGGCTGCCTGAAATTTCCAATTCTCCTTCCTCAGTTTCCTGAGTAGCTGGGCTTACAGGTAAGTACCCTTGCACCTGGCTAATGCTGCTCTCTTTTTTGGTGTGTGTGGTGCTGTGGTGCTGGGGATTGAACCTAGGGCCTTGTGCATGTGAGGCAAGAAATTCTGCTCTCTTAAAACATGGTTATTCCTCTATTTCTCTTGGAAGAGAACACTAGGCATATGAAGACATAAAAAAGAATAAATCACTGTCAGAAAACTTTACACATTTAAAAATTATTGGCATAAGAATAAACAGTAGGCTAAGGAGATGCTCTTTAGGGACAGGAAATTATTCATCCATTTCTCAAGGTAATCTTTTCTGAAATATATGCATATTGTTTCTTTCAGAAGCTAATTAAACTATCTACTACAGTTTGTCCCCTAAAGGTTCGTGTGTTGGTGGCATGGTCCTCTGTGTGGCACTGAGGTGGATTAATGGGCAGGTCTAAAGGAGGCCCTTAGGTATGTTGCTTTGGGACATTTTAATATTACTTACCTCTTACTTAGGAGGTGGAGTGTGACAGGGTGGGGGCAGTCCTCAGAAAGGACTGAGATAGTTCTCAAGGGTCCTTCAGGGTCTTAAATTGGCCTTGCTAGAGAGTTCTTATAAAAACTGAGTCTGACTTCTGAATTGTTCTCTGGTTTCTAGTTTGGCTCTTGACATTGTGGTTTTATCTGGCATGAGGCACTCAACAGAAATAAGCAAAGACTAGCACCTTTCCCTTGAAGGTCCAGAATTGAGCTGGACAAACATTTCTTTTTTAGAAAGATTCCCAGACTCGGGTATATTTCATCATAACAATGAGAAACTACTAACACTATCCAAGATAGTTAATATTAGGTGTTACGCTCTAGGATCATTCACTATAACTATACAATTACCTAGTATGAAAAAATGAAATTAAGCAGAGCACTAGGAACATTCCACAAAGTGAATATAAACAGTTTTATAATCCAGACTTAGTAAGGAATGGATACATTAGTGGCTAATGAGGGAATTTCAAGGAGGAGGTTTTCATATGCAAATACACATCCAGTATTCTTTATTTTAAATGTTGTCAAGAGGGTTTCAAATTTCAGATTTAGAATATCTGCATATACAATGAGATATTTTGGGGATGCAAACAAAGTCTAAGCATGAAATTCATTTATGTTTCATGTACATCTTTTTTTTTTGAAAGGAGGGACCAGAATTGAACTCAGGGGCACTCAACCACTGAGCCACATCCCCAGCCCTATTCTGTATTTTATTTAGAGACAGGGTCTCACTGAGTTGCTTAGCGCCTCATTTTTGCTAAGGCTGCCTTTGAATTTGCAATCCTCCTGCCTCAGTCTCCTGAGCCACTGGAATTACAGGTGTGTACCACTGCACCTGGCCTCACGTACATCTTGATGGCAATTAGATACAATATTCTTAGTGTGCCTATGTTTTGACTATGACCTGTCATATGAGCTCAGGTTTGAAATTTTCCACTTGTGGTATCCTATTGGTACTCAACATTTGGGATTTTTGGATTAGAGATGCTCAACCTGCATTACCACTAAATTCTCTATATATTCACGTAACTACTATCTTATTTATTTATTTATTTATTTATTTTTTAGTTCTCGGCAGACACAACATCTTTGTTTGTATGTGGTGCTGAGGATTGAACCCGGGCCGCACGCATGCCAGGCGAGCGCGCTACCGCTTGAGCCACATCCCCAGCCCTCGTAACTACTATCTTAAAAAAAAAAAAAAAAATGAACAGGGCCACTAGGCATGGTAGCACACACCTGTAATCCCAACAACCTGAGAGGCTGAGGCAGGAGGAAAACAAGTTCGAGACCAACCTTGGCAACTTAGCAAGACCCTGTATCAAAATAAAAAATGAAAAGGTCTGTCTCTCTCTCTCCCCACACCTCCCCCCCCCTCACACACACACACACACACACACAAGTTTTTGGGTGCTTTTGGTGATCTTCACAAACCCTAGAAAATAATAATTCTTCTAAAGAATCCAAATAAACTCCCAAACCTTTCCTTTTCTTTCTAGTAAGTTGTTGAGTTTCCCTTTATAGGCTAGAATTTCTTATTCCACTGCTAAGAATGCAATTCAATGCCAAGTAATTAAGAGAAATACCTTTCCTGCGTAACCAAGAGCAGCAGGTGTAGCAGATTCCGGAACAGTGCTAACCAAATCTGCATCCACAGGTGCTTCAATTGCCAGCTGTTGACCACAACGGTATCTTACCGTATAAACCATTTGGTCTGGTATGTTTGGAAAAGGAAACAAGTTATTTTTACTTAATATAATATTGTTATTCTAAAAAGACAGCATTAGAATATCATCAATTAAGTATAAAAAAAAAAAAAAGCAAACATGCTTAGAATGCTCAAGGCTCTGGGTTCAAACCCCAGTACCAAAAAAAAAGCAATATATACAAAAACAATAAAGTGAAAATACTCAAATTGGGGAGTTCAAAGTTCAACTATGCAGCTGGGGGGGGGGGGGGCTGAGACAGGAGGATCCTGGGTTCAAAGCCAGCCTCAGCAACAGTGAGGCTCTAAGCAACTCAGTGAGACCCTGTCTCTAAATACTCAGGGTCAAGGTCAAGTGTCCCTGAGTTCATCCCATGATACCCACCCACCCCCCAAAAGAGTTCAACTGTGTAGTATTTAAAAATTTTGACCTTAATATAGATTTGAAAATCATAACCATTATTTTTTTTCACATGCAGAAGATTGATATTTGATCCATGTCTCCCATCCCATATAATCATTTTTAATAAGAAAATTAATGTCTTAAAGTTGAAAGGAAGGGAAATAGCAATCTAATGACTTATGAATTCATTAATATATACAAAACATAAAACTATACCTTCAGGGCCTGGGGTAGTAGCTCAGTGGCAGAACGCTTGCCTAGCACATGTGAGGCCCTGGGTTCGATCCCCAGCACCACATAAAACCAGTAAACAAAATAAATGTATTGTGTCCATCTACAACTAAAACAACAAACCCAAAACTGTACCTTCAAAAAGCAAGGTAAACTTTTGGGCCAAGAACTGCTATGTTTCAATGAGATAAATAAGAAATTTACAGGAACAATCAAAGAAATGAAATTTACTTACTTTCAAACATACTATCTGGTCTTGCAAAATAAACATATTCAAAGATACAAAAAGCCACTGGGTTTCCTTCAGACCTTGATATGACATCAAGAGTTCGGACATTATGTCTGGATATTTCCACAATTTCCCCAGGCAAAATTTCACGGTAATATCTTGAAAACAATGTTTAAAAAAAAAATTAATTAAAAAAAACCCTACTTTTAATAAATCAGTCCTTAAGGCTGATGATAATATCAATTTAAAAACACATAGTTCCCTCCCTTTTAGAAAAAAAGTGATTCCTTTAATATGTCTATAAGTCTGTTATCTCTATGTCCTAATTTAAAATTTCAAAAATGAGAATCTTGGCTGGGTACGATGGTGCACAGCTGTAATCCCAGTTGACTCAGGAGGTTGAGGCAGGACAATCACAAGTTCAAAGCCAGCCTCAGCAATTTAGTGAAGCCTTAAGCAACTCAGTGAGACCCTGTCAGAAAATAAAAAATAAGGGCTGGGTGTGGGGGCCTAGGATTGTAACTCTGGTAAAGTGCTTGCCTAGCATATGAAGCACCGGGTTCAATTCTCAGCACTATATGAAAATACATAAATTAAAAAAATACAAAAGCACTTGTGTCCATCTACAACTAAAAACATTTTTAAAAAATAAATAAATAAGGGATTTGGCTCAGTGGTGAAGCACCCCAAAACAATTAAATCAAAAAAATAAAGAGAGTCCTACATTTTATTAATTTTTGAAATAAAAGGTAAGTATTTTTATCCTGATTTTAAATTTTTCCATTATAATTTCTTGTTAAGAACATTCTTCCTTTCTGAGTCTCATGATAGTGTAAAAGAAAGATGATGCTCATAAAATTACAAGGTATACATTCATGTCAGTATAAGTGCTGAGCACAAATCTACATAACAAAATGTATATGTTTTGTTATATATGTTAGAAAGAAAACTTTCATGTAATTAGCAAAACAAAATTTTCTTTTTAATTAAAAAAAAAAAACCCCCCCCTCTTTTTGAGCCAGGATCTTACTATCTTGTCCAGGATGGTCTCAAACTCACAGGCTGAAGTGCTCCTCCTGCCTCAGCCTCTTAAGTAGCTGGGGCCACAGGAACATGCCACCATGCCCAACTAAAGAACGTCTTATAAATGTGGGAAAAGATAAAATGCCTAATGGGTAAAACTTACCTTGCACCAATAGATAAAAAGCTACAAGATTCTGAAGACACAACCCATCCTTCTGTTTCTGATGTTTTTTTTTCTATAAATCAAAAAAGAACTCAGTTAATGGATTTAAGTAATTTTAAAAGAGGCTATTTCAACAGAATAGTTAAACACTAAATAGATAAAGTAAAAAAGCTCAAAGAAGAGATGATTTTCATGACTTTAAAAGCACATAGATTTGGCCAGGGTTGTGGCTCAGTGGTAGAGTGCTTGCCTAGCTTGCGTGAGTGAGGCACTAGGTTCAATCCCAGGCACCACGTACAAAATAAAGCTTGTGTCCACCTATAACTTAAAAAAAAAATTTTAAAAAAAGCACATGGATCTTCATCTAACTTAAGCCAAAGACAAATAATAGTCCTAAGACTCCTACCAACATTATTTTTATGACTAAACAAGACACCTGAAAAGTCAAAAAGAAAATCACTAAAATCATACTGTAGAAATTAAAAGCTAAACAAAGACTACAAATGAGTAGCTCAGACAGAAAAAAATAAGAATGTCTGTTAATACATTAAAAGTAACCCATTTTCTTAAATTATGGCATTTGATGGTAAATGGATGGAAATGGAGAATATCATGCTAAGTGAAATTAGCCAAACTCAGAAACTCAATGGTTGAATGTTTTCTCTCATGTGGAAGTTAGAGTAAAATAAAGGAAAGGAGGATGAAGAGATAAGATTACATAAAGAACCAATGAAATAAAGAATAATAGACAAGCAGGTCTGGGGTTGTGACTCAGTGGTAGTTTTTTGTTTTTTAAAGAATCCTTAAAAGAAAAAAAAAAAAAAAGACAAGCAAAAGGAAGTCTAGGGCTGGGGATGTGGCTCAAGTGGTAGCACGCTCACCTAGCATGCGTGAGGCACTGGGTTTGATTCTCAGCACCACATAAAAATAAAATAGAGATATTGTGTCCACCTAAAACTAAAAAATAATTTTTTTAAAAAAAGGAAGTCTAATAGAGGAAAAATAAGGGGAATAGGGGAAGATGGGAAGGAAAGGCGGGGCTCATGAACTGAAATTGATTTCCACACAAGTACAGTTTGTTGGGATAAACCCAACTACTAAGTATAACCATTAAGCTCTTAGAAAAAAAAAAAAAGTGACTCATTCTCAGATGTAGACAAAGAAAAGTACTTTAAAAACACACAACACCGAGCTGGACACCCTGGGGCATGCTATAATCCCAGTTACTCAAGAGGCTGAGGCAAGAAGATCACAGCAGCATCAGTAACTTAGTGAGGCCCCATGCAATTTTGCAAGACCTTTCTCAAAAATAAAAAGGGCTGGGGATATGCCTCAGTGGTTAAGCACCCTGGGATCAATCCCAGCATCAAAACCAACCGAACAAACAAAAGACTAACAAAGCCATTTTTCTGTTTAACTAAATCCCTCTCACTCATAAGTTTCCTATACCTAAAGATTTCAGGGCTCGCTAGCAGTAGGGCAATGACTTTGGAAAGTGCTATGAACTTAATTATTTCTGAAGTCTCTTACCTTTGTCATTTATATCAGAAACTGGAATAAGTCGACCAATGCATAGAGGACGATTTCCATAAGGATCCCGAACTGCGTAAATAACATCTCTGTGCATTATAAGTAGGGAGTATGCTGTGGGTGCTTCCTTCATTAAGTTTTTAATCCTGAAATGGATTAATTAAATGACTAAACGAATCACTTCAGTTATAAACACTGAAAGCAATGCTTGCATCACCAAAGCTGCAAGAATAATCCAAATTTACAGTTACCTTGCTACCCAGTCTGGGGTGTCATCTTGTTCCTGAGGAGGGGTATATGCCAGTAACTGGGTTATCATTTCACTATCAGAGCTGGTGGACAGACCAACACCATGACGCAGAAGCTATACAGAAGAGAAATCTGTCATTAGCAGAGAAAGCTCCCCTCTAGTCCTCACCCAACAGTCCACCATAATGGAAATAATTGAGCATTCTGCTGACACCTAGTTATGAAAACCCTGCACCCCGCTAATTGTATGTTTATACTGAAAACAAAGGACTACTGTGGAAGGCAATGGGACGTCTCCAAATGTTTGAGGAGGAAAAAAAAACAACAGTACTTTAGGAGACACCAAGAAAAGTTTGAGGGCATATAGACCTGCAATGGGGGGTGAGGGGAGGAAGAGTTTGGATTGTGGGTCTTTTTCTACCCACAACACTCCTGATGAGTAAGACACATTCCCTTAAGAAAGGCACACTACAGTGGTGACTCTCAAACTGCGTCTGTTAGTGGTAGTGATGGTGGTTACCCATCCTCAATGATTACTGATAGAAGAAAGGAATCAACTGTGTTAAACAATTAAATGTATAAATACCAGTTGAAGTTCTGAACAAGTCTGAAGAAAGTGAATTGAAATGGACACTAATCTCTAAGTGGTGACCTTTTAGTAATTTACTGCATACTTTTGGGGTTGTCTGAATTTTTAAAATGAGTTATATATTTTTTTTTCGTCTAGGACCAGAAATATATCCTTTTTTTTTTTAAGAGAGAGAGAATTTTTTAATATTTTTCAGTTTTCGGTGGACACAACATCTTTATTTTTATGTGGTGCTGAGGATCGAATCCAGTGCCCCGTGCATGCCAGGCGAGCGTGTTACCGCTTGAGCCACATCCCCAGCCCCTCCTTTTTTTTTTTTTAAACTGGAGACTTAACCCAGTGAGCTACATCCCCAGCTCTTTTTGTTTTTTATTTTGAGATAGTGTTTCACTAAGTTGCTCAAGTTTTCACTAAGTTGCCGAGGCTGGTCTTGAACTTGCAATCCTCCTCCTGTCTCAGCCTTCCAAGCTGCTAGGATCACAGGTATGTACCACCACTCCCGAGCAAAATGTATCTTACATAGATTATAATGCCAGAGCCTGTAAAGAGGGCACAGCAAAGCTCTGGGAAGCCCTAATGGTAGAGTGGGAAACAGGAGAACGAGTGGTACAAAAGCTTGGGTTCCAGATACTTCCAGCCCACCAGTTCATCATCATTCAACTTCTGAAACTGCTTACTTTATGTGAGACAGCTCTAAGAGACTGAAAGAATAATGGAGTATGCACTTGTCTAAACATGCCCTACCAACTACCACCTGGTCCTCGGGTGCTAATCAAGACGATCAGAATCTAGTGAAGAAACTAAGCATCGATGAATGGCATAAGTGGATAAAAAAGAAACTACCAGGTACATGAAGACACCGCATGATAATAATTTTAAAAAGAATGATGAAGCCGGGTGTGGTGGCGCATGCCTGCAATCCCTGCTCAGGAGGCTGAGACAGGAGGATGGCAAATTCAAAGCCACCATCAGAAAAAGCAAGGCCTTAGCAACTCAGTGAGACCCTATCTCCAAATAAAATACACAATAGGGCTGGGGATGTGGCTCAGTGGTTGAGTGCCCCTGAGTTCAATCCCTGGTTATTCCCTCCCAACCACCAAAAAAAAAAAAAGGATGAAATGATGGATGAAGTCAAAGGCATAAACTAGACACTGTTAACACAGAAAGTTCCAAATGATAAGCTGTAAATAAAGGGTAGGAGTAAACATCCTTTGTCCTTACTCCCAGATTCTATTTTAGTTTCCAGTATGGTTACAATTCATTTCTCATATTATATTTGTCATCCTCAAGTTTAGACTCCATTTTCTTCATATGATTTTTTATGCCTCAGATATACAAATTGAACATCCCTAATCCAAAACTTGAAATGCTTCAAAATCTGAAACTTTGAGCACCAACATGCCACAAGTGGAAATTGCACATGAAAGTTTGTTTCATGCATAAGATCATTTAAAACATCATACAAAATTATATTTACCCTATGTGCATAATTTGTATATGAAACATAAATTAATATTATGTTTAGACTTGGTTCCAATCCAAAGATTTTAGAATCCCAAAACATCTGAAATCTGAACCACTTCTGGTTCATTTCAAAGAAAGGATACTGAACCTGAACCTATACTCTACTCTTTATTTTTTTTTTGGTTCCAGGAATTGAACCCAGGGGTACTTAATTGAACCAGTGGAACTGACCCACACTCCCAACCCTTTTTATATTTTGAGACAGGGTCTCTCTAAATTGCTGAGGGTGGCTTTCAATTTGCAATTCTCCTGTCTCAGCCTCCTAGTTGCTGGGATTATGGGCCAGTACCATCAACCAAGGTCTACTTTCTTCTTATGCTTTGATAAATATATACCACTGTCCTGCACCTATGGGAAAGCAGTTCTAGGAGTGCTGCAGAACCAAAATCTGCAATGCATAAGTCCCTTATAAAATATAAAATAATGATGTAGAATTTGTATATAACTTAATACACTCTACCATATATTTTAGATCATGTCTAGATATTTCTAACACAATGCAAATAGTTATTACATTATTGTTTAGGGAATAATGACAAGAAAAATGTCTACACATGTTCAGTACAGGCAATTTCCTGCCCCTGCCCCCAGATACATTTTATCTGCATTTGGTGGATATGTAGTGCTGGAAAGTCAACTGTAGGCTGGTGATTTTGGAGTGATTGTGGGGTATGTGTGCTGGGGACTAAACTCAGATCACTGAGCCACATCCCCAGCCCTATTTTGTATTTTATTTAGAGACAGGGTCTCACTGAGTTGCTTAGTGCCTTGCCATTGATGAGGCTGGCTTTGAACTCGTGATCCTCCTGTCTCAGACTCCTGAGCTGCTGGGATTAAAGGTGTGTGCCACTGCACCCAGCCATAGGTTGATTTTTGACCTGGATTTTCCTCACACACAGCTCCTACACCCCTTGCAATGACCAATGTAAGCATATTTAGTAGGATAATGAAATGACTGGTAGCCAGAGAACCAACCAGGTGATTAGAGGTAACTTTTAACCTGATACCAGACCTTCCAGGAGGGAAGGGGGCTGAAGTTTGAGCTGATAATTCAAGGCTACTATTTCAAGCAATTACGCCAACTTAATGAGATCTTTATAAAAACCCAAATAGAACAAATTGGGATAGTTTTCAGATAACTAAGGAGAGCCTGGAGTGGTACCCAAAGGGCATCAAAGCTCTATGCCTCTTCCCACATACTTTGTCCTACCCGTGTCTTCTTTTTTCTTTGTTTGGTGGTGCTAGGGATTGAACCCCAGCCCTTGTGCATGCAAGGCAAGCACTCTACGAACTGAACCATATCCTCAGCCCCCCTACCCATCTCTTCATCTTGACTGTTCTGCTGTATTCATTGTAGTATGCTTTATGATCAACTGGTAAGCATAAGAAAAGTACTTTCCTGGGCTGGGACTCTGGCTCAGTGGTAGAGTACTTGCCTAGCATGTATGAGGCACTGGGTTCGAGCCTCAGCACCACATAAAGATAAATAAATAAAGGTATTGTCCATCTACAACTAAAAAATAAAGATATATATATTTTAAAAAAATACTTTCCTGAGTTCTGTGAACTGCTCTATCAAATGATGGAAATCAAGGAGGGGACGTGAAACACCCAATAGCCAGTTGGTTAAAAGTATCAGAGACTCAGACTTGTGACTGACATCTGAAGCGGAAAGTAGTAGACTTGTGGGACTAAGCTCTTAATCATTGGGATCAGACCGACTCCAGGTTGCAGTGTTGAACTGAATTATAGGATATTCAGTTGATGTCCTCTAGAGAACTGGTTGGTGTGAGAAACCCTTATATTTGGGCACAGATTATGCTGTGATGAGTCTGAAAGTCACATAAACTTTGAATACAGGAACAAATTTCCAAAGGACAGAAAGGATCTATAAACCCTAATTTTTCTGTGCTTAAAACAGAAACCATAAATCAACTTCCCAAATCTCAACACTAAAGCAACACTATTGCAAACCACCTTGGGAGTATATTCAAATGCCCTCAACTATGGGGGCCTGGGGGGGGGTATTTTAGAATCTGGAATTATAACAAATAGTCCAGGTAATTCTTATGCGATTGCTGGTGGCAGTTAGGCATCAGGTAGCAACAATTAAGAAATGCCATTTCTGCAATCCCAGCAACTCATGAGCCTAAGGCTCTAAGTTTCTTAGTGAGACTGTGTCTATTAAAAAAAGTGCAGGAGATGTAACTCAGTGGTAAACTGCCCCTTGGTTCAATCCCTGGTTTAAAAAAAAAAAAAAAGAAAGAAAAGAAATGTCCCTTGACAAGATCCTCTACTTCTTTTAACTAACTGCAATAATGAAAACTTACCTTTTTCCTTAACCGAGCAGCATTCACCAATTCGCCATTATGTGCCACAGCTATTTTCCCGTGAAGTGTTTCAACAACAAAGGGCTGACAATTTTCTAATTCACAGTTTCCTGTAGTGGCATACCTCGTGTGTCCAATGCCAAGATTTGAAACATACAATTTCTTCAAATTGTCTTCAGTAAAAACATGATTTACAAGACCCATTCCCTTGAGAAGTCAAAGAAAAAGCATGTCTTAGAAAAAAACACAGACTAGTACTGCTAGCAAATAAGCCTCTCTGCTCAGGCAATCCCAGTTCACCTACTGTCTCTATGCTCCATAATTCTAATCAGGATGAAAAGACGGAAAGAGACAGGAAGGAAGGTAGGCATGTAGGAAATGAAGGAAGATTCTAATTTGACAGATGTTAGGATATAAAATTGAAAATGATTGAAAAGGTACTATCTTCTGCAAATTGTTTATTCATTCCTTTCTCCCCTCATATACTAATGATCATCTGGCAATTGTTATCTTGACCATCATCGTTTTTCAATGTTCAAGTTTACCTTATGCGTTTTGAATGTTGGCACAGAACTCCCATCACTGGTCACCATACCAGCACTCTCCTGGCCCCTGTGAAAACACAAAGGCATCAACTATTAAGTCCCCAGTTGAAGAGCTTCTGAAGAGCCTCATTACCGCACTTTGTCAACAAGCATCCATATCTGAGTCTGACACATTCAATGCTACGAAGACTCACACTGCTTCCACACATGATGCTAATGACTGGTAACAGCAGCAGACAACTCCAACAAGATGATCCTGTCATCTGATTCCAACCAATATACATACCAGTTTCTGGAACCCTAAACACTTTTACATAAAGGGAAATAATGTAGCTTTCACAACAATCCTGTGAAGCAAGACTGCGACTGCCATTCCCATCTCACAGATAAGCACACCAAAGAAATGGAAAAATAACTTGTCCAATGTCACACAGTGAGCAGATGGTGCTGCCAGGATCATGACAGACAATCCAACTCCAGAACTTGGGCCTCCAACCTCTAGTAATATTGGTCTCTGAGTAAGGTTAACAGGGTGAGTATTTAGATATAAGCAAAACAATTTCCATTTGCTTTTCTGCATTTTCCAACTTTTCTCCAACAAATATCAGGCTTTATTGTTTAGTCTTTACAGTGCTGGTGATTGATTTAACTTGGGGCCTAACAAATGTTGGGCAAGCTCTTCAGCACTGAGCTACATCCCCAAGCCCAAATATCACTTTCTATTTATATCAGTTTACATTAACATTAGCTATAAACCTCTGAAAAACAGCTCTGCCAACCATTTCCAATTTTTAAAAATCCACAATCATTTGGCAGAACAGCGAATCATAAGAAATACACACAAAAATAGTAGTCTCTTTCCCTTTTGTCTCAAGGGTAATTTTTCCTTAAAGCTGAATGAAAAAAAGGTTAGCAATCATTTAGGTTCAGGTTTCTTTAATCACAAAGCTTGCCCTGCGTATTTGGCAGTTCCTTAAGTTACTCCCTCAGGCAGCTTGAACCAGTTAAACTAGATGCTTTCAAGCTCTAAGGAGCGGTACTGACAACCAGCCATCTGGTTTCCTAGGAAACAAAACTGGTGGCTACAAGTAGTGAATCATTTCCAGGTCACTTTCAACATGGAGAGTGAAGCTGGGAGGCACTGGACTGACGAGGAGGTTAAAGCTTTGCTAAGTGTCTGGGCAGAAAAAAACATACGAAAACAACTTTATGGCACACTGAGAAATAAAGGAATATTTATTTACATTGCTAAAAGGCTGCAATCACTAGGAATACACAGAGACTGGAAACAATGCCGGACAAAGTATAAGAATCTCAAATATGAATATAGAACTGTGAAGTATGCCCACAACTCTGGAGACAGCTCTAAAACTATGAAGTTCTTCCATGACTTGGACGTAATCCTGCAGTATGAACCTGCCACACAATTAACAGAGGAGGATGCTAACAGCCGGCACCTGGCAACGCTGAGCCCAAGCACAGCCCCAGAGACCACTGAAGGTAAAAAGAAATTAAAAACAAAAACAAAAACTATTTTTAAATTTCTCTTCATATTACAGTTTCACAAACTTTAAGTACAGGACACTTCTGAGTCCAAGTGATAAATATAGCTAAAATATCAAGGTTGAAAAAAAATCGTAACTTACACTATTTTACACATGGTAAGAATTAAAAAAAAAAAAAAAAGAAGTTAAATACCACTTTGACAACTGTTAAAATACAGAATAAAACACACTGAAATGGCCTTAACTGCTAGTGCCAAATGTATGTATGGTGTGTTTCTGAAATATGGATTGGATTCTGAAAATATTTTAGGTTTGATTTTGATAAAAGTGGTAAAAAAGAGAATACCAAAAATACTGTTCAACTGCTGTTTTCTCACAGTTCCACAAGACAAAACTTTCTCCTCTATTTTAATGTTTCCATTTTCTTAAATTAATAAATAAAAGCATTAAAATAAAGAGTTGATGAACTTTTTATGACCGGTCTGGCAGAGCTTCATTTTTACAACAAAGACAAATATAGATTTAATAATTAAACAAAGACAAAAATAGATTTAATAAATAATTGAAGATTTTGATTCATTTATTTCTGTATGTATATAATTTATTGGGGTTCTAGAAATTGAGCCCAGAGGCACTTTACCACTGAGCCACACCCCCAGCCTTTTTTTTTTTTTTTTTTTTTTGAGAAAAGGTCTTGCTAAATTGCTGAGGCTGGCCTCGAACTTGTGATCCTCCTGCTTCAGTGGGAGCTGGCTAGAATTTTAGGCATATAGGCATGACTGAAGATTTTGAAGATATTAAACAAGGTCCTTGACCTGCTGTGTTGTTAAGCCCAGCACTAGTTATGATTTGCTCATTGTCTCTGGAAGCCACAAGCATCACTAGGCAGGAGGAGTGACAGTAATGAAATTTCTTCCATGGCTAAATAGAGCAGAGTTGTTAAAGTATCTATAACCCCCACTGTCATGTGACCCATGTGCAAAGAACACAGATATTCACATACAATGAATGCTATTAAACCTCCAAAAGGAGGAACCAAGAATAAATGTAACACCCTAGAGAAAAAGGCAAGCAGTACTCTAAAGGTTCCAAATGCAAAGGGCGTTGAGGACAGCCATTATAGCTGAGTTAACTTGGGTTGGCTGAATTTCATGTTTATAGCTCAGTAATCATTTGTCTAAGAAACAATCTATCCCACTTACAAAAACCCTTTCCATCTCTAATTATGCCAAATGTTGAGAATGCGCTGCAGTCATTATAAGCAGCAGTTATAATATTTTTTCTTTTAATCATTCAGGACTCTTAAATCACTTAGCTTCTCAAAATCTCCCACCAGATGTGTTGGTTTAATGAAGATGTAGGTGCTAATACCTTTGCTTCTTAAAGCGATCATCTTCTAACCCTTTAGGTTACCCTCCTGGCTTCAATTTCTTAGTTCCATTCATAAGCAGTGGGCCTATATTATACAACCTAATCATGTATGTATAAGGTACCTTAAACCCTGAATTCTAAAATCAAACTCTTCTACACTCATTAAAAATTGATCCTCCTACAAACTGCTTCCACTTTAGACTTCCACAGAAATGTCTGAGATACCCTTGACTTTGGTCAACAATTATTCATAAAAAGTCTACTGACCTTCTATAAAATTTTTCTCTCATCCACTCTCATTATTTATAACTTTATCATATCACACAGAGTATTATTATAACCATTTTTCTATACATTTGTTCACTTGAAAATTCCTTGTTCATACAACTGGGTTCTTAGAAAGTCTTCATGTCTTCTGGTAACTAAATCAACCTGATAATACCTTAGGTCCACTGCTGCCAAACCACATTCCTTCAGTGACCCAGATTCCCCTCTGTCTCTTCTTTATACAAACGCATCAGAAGCAATGACTTAAGGTTTCAGTTTAAAACTTCCAGGCACAGAGCCTCTGAGTATCATTTCAGGATTCACACTATAAATGACCAACTTAAGAAAAAAAATTCCTGAAGAAGTTGGGAAGCCTACCTGTACACTAGCCCCAGGTTCTATTCTATGGATAGAAAACCAGACCCTAAACCAGAGAACAAAGCAGAAAACCACATTCTCTGCTTATTGTCATTAGCTCAGGATAAATGACCTGAGTGTACCAATATCTTCACCATGTTTCTCTAAAAAGTTCTTATGTAACCCCAGATTCTTATTTTCTATTTCCAATTAAATCTAAGACATTCCTTATTAATTCCTTTATCCTCAATTAACTGTAAAACTTGACTTAAAATTGGCAATTTTTACTTCGAAAGTTATAAAAACACGATTGTGTCATTTGATAACAGTGGTGCTTTTGTACTTCTGTATTTATTTAACTTTCCATATTTAACTGTTTCCCTATTTTAACATGGGAACCAACAGACTTTTAAATATGATAAACACATTTTTTTCAATGACAATGTCTCTAAATATAATGGTGAATCATAATTTTTTAAAACTATTTTGTTTTTTAGTTATAGATGGACACAATACCTTCATTTTTATTTTTACGTGGTGCTGAGGATTGAACCTGGCACCCGGCACATGCAAGGCAAGCGCTCTACCGCTGAGCCACAACCCCAGCCCATGAATCATGATTTTAAGTGGATGTTTATGTCAATCAAATCACACCTAAATAAAATACAATAATACTATCTCTATTACCTGGCAAACAGAATTAGAAAAGCATTTGGGAATGATGATTAATAAGATGAATAAATCTTTAATTTAAAAAATTACAAAGAGCAATCAAAATATACTCAACCCCTCCTGATTAGCTGGCAGCTTCATTGTCATTGTTGGGTTCCTTTCAAAGATTTATTTTTTTCCCTTAAAAAAAGCATCCTCCTATGTGTAATATGAATTAAAATGCATTCTGCTGTCATATATAACAAATTAAGATTAAATCAATTAATTTAAAAAAAAAAAATCATCCTCCTGAGGCTGGGGTTGTAGATGAGTGACAGAGCACTTGCCTGGCATGTGTGAGGACCTGGGTTCGATCCCAGAACCACAAACACGAATTAAGCTCCTTATCTGATTACTTTAGGAAGTAGCCTTTGCCTCCTCTATAAAAGCAAGCATAGAAACCGCCAAACCATAAAACAAGGAGCTCAAGGAAGGATTTCATTCTTTTAAGTCTGGCATGGGAGGGCTGGGGTGGTGGCTCAGTGGTAGAGTACTTTGCCTGGCATATGTAAAGCAGTGGGTTTGATTCTCAGCACCACATATAAATAAATAAAATAAATGTCCATTGACAACTAAGAAAATATTTTTTTTTAAAAAAAGGTCTGGTATGGTTCTTTTAAATGATACATCTCTTACCACATTTAAGTAATTTTGATAAATTTCTGAAATGTTTAGTATGTCAATTAATTATATAATACACAAAAACTCTTAAGCTGTTTGGCTCTATGTGCCAGTAAAACATTTTCTGATTAAATTTTTCATTGTATATTCCTCTTGTACATTACCAGTAGCATTTATAAAAGTCCCTACTGTGTTAAAGCACCTAAGAAACAAATAAAACACATCTTATTTAATT